AAGCTGAATATGAATATGAATTTCACTACTACAATGACTTTATAGGTGAATGTTTTCTGATTATGGGAGTTGGGGAATGTGCCATCTTCAGAAAGGACAGGTTTGTCATTTTAGTGGCCCAAACTGAAACCAGCATAGTGCCTCTGTAATTTTAAACTCAAGCAGGATGAGAGTCCTTAAAGCTCCATTAGATGAGACAACAGTATCTGTTCTCTCTCTCTTTCCAAACCCCAACTTTCAGCCATAGCTACCCCCTCCCCAAATCACTTCACTGGATGAGAATGGGGGGAAGGGACACATAGGAACACCTAGCACTGTTCTTAGACATCTGTATCCAGAGACAAGAGCAGAACTCAGCATCACTTTATGCTCTCCACCAGGGATGCAATAGTTATGTTGGGAGGAGATAGGCCTAATTCTAGGTCAGCTTTCTCTGTGTCTACATGTTAGCAAATATGTGCAAACAAATTCCATTTCAACTCCTGTTGCTAAGACTGTGGAGCAGACATTTCTGTGCTACATGTTGGAGCTAGCCTTTGATGCAAGGAAGCCAATCATATCTCAAAAGATATTTGTGGCTTTTCATTCAGCATATCTTGGAAAACTCAGCACACATTTCTGGTGGAATGTTTTGTAGACATGCCTTTTAAAAAATGTCACCCTGTAATATTTTCCCTTGAGGCACTTGTTTTAATCACAATTTTAATCATTCTGAAACTTTCCCTTCTCATGCTCCCCTTGTTAAAAGGGGCAACAACCTAGTCAGAATGGAAACCCCCTGTTTCAATCACAGAGCTGAGAGAATAAATCATGCTAGCAATTTTCTTTCATTATGGTGATCTGGAATATTTCTGAATCATGTCACTTGGAGCTCTCCATACAATGCTTGGGAGGGATGTCAAAAGTTTCAGCTTACACATCAAACAAACTAGACATTTGTGTTTGGACCTGGTTGTGTGCCTGAAAGTCACTGCTTTGAAAAATGGTTGAAAAACATGTTACTGAAGTGTCATGGAAACCTGATGATGACATGGGCATTCTGTGTCCACAAAGCAACATTATCTGTTGCATGTACTGCCTAACTCAGGTTCAGAAACACACGCCTCAGCAAAGCTTTATTCAGAAAAATGAAATGACCACAGCATAACGATGCTGCCAGGACTGAAGCAATGTCAGTTACACAGAATAATAAAAGCTCATAGCAACTCAAATATTTTGCATGGACTTACATCCCATCCATCTAATATCCAAAACATTGTATTTCCCAGGAGTATCCCTCCCTCTTCCCCTCATACTAAGCATTTTCATTGAATTGACCTTGATTGCTTACAGCCTTTTATTTCCTCTTTTTACCCAGTGACCTGAAAGATATACAATCCTTCCAGCCAGCATCACCAATTGGGTAGCATATCCCATCATTCAATATTACAAAACATATGCAAAATAAATAGCTAGTAAGCATGGAAGGAGCTGTGGTCCTAACAATCTGTTAAAGTATTCCCCCCCCACAGAAAAATAATGTATTTGCATTTAAAAAAACCCCTTCGTGTGGAAAATTGTGCAGACAATTCTGTTTTTAAAATACAACTGTATAGTAAGATTTTCATAGATTTTAACATACAGCAAAGTTGTTTTCATCAATTTCAAATCAATTTCAATGTAGAATGAATTATAGATAACAATCATAATAAAAACATCAGGGGCATAATAATAAGATATGATATGGGTTTGTTGTTTAGCATATTTTCAAAGATTCTGGGGTTCTGAGATGAGTACATCATTCTAGTTCCACAAGTGATGGGTTGGAGATTTCAAGAGCTGTATACTGTCATTAATATATTCTATGAGAGGATACCAACATTCCACAAATGGTTTTCTATTCATAGCTCCTATATTAAGTGACATTTTATCTGATAGTTTCACCATTAACCATACTTCCCATACTCTGTTCCATTGATCAAACTACAGTATTTTCTACAACTTCACATTGAAGCATCAATACTTTAACAAGAGATCTAAACTAATTTGGGCAAAAAAGCAAAACATAAATCATAGAATCGTAAGATTTGGAGGAGACCTCAAGGGCCATTCAGTCCAACCCCATTCTGCCATGCAGGAACTCACAATCAAAGCACCCCCAGCAGATGGCCATCCTGCCTCTGTTTAAAAAGCTCTAAAGTATAAATAAACGAAGCAGCTCCTTCTTAGCTTTTCTTAGAACTGTGCTTAGATTGCTTTCTTTTATGCTTTCCAGCATTTCTCTTTTCTGTGGTCACTTCTTGATTATTCTCTTCTTAACTGCAGAAGGCAGACAACAGATAGATTTTCCTTGATAAATTTTCCTTAATGGCTGCTTGAACAGAACTGCATGGAGTAGAACCAGCTTTAGGATCTTCTGAAACCCAGTCTAGAGAGTCTATAAAATTGTTGAGGGCTTTCATGAAACAATAAAAGTAGGTTTTTTGTTTTACCTCACCCTCGACATTCAGAGTAGTTACTCATATTTTATAGTTGTAACATCATAGCCTGACATACTCTACAAGTATAAAAACCACATGTTCTTACAATCTTTACCACAGTTTTCAAGAAACCACAACATTTTTACCTTTCCCCTTATTTTCCAGGGCAAAAAGTAATAAACAATAGAGCTGAATGATAGAAAACTGCATTTGTATCAATATGGTAGATAAGAGAATAAGGGTAATGTATGGAGGAATTCCTGGGGGAATATTTCTTAAGGTACACCAGAATATAGAATGTTATGTTTGTACCTGGCATGTGAAGCCTTTCAAG